ATCCGAGTACTTCAGATGAGAGACAGCGATTTTCTTGACTTTGGTTCATCCTCTAAAGTATTAAACTTTCAGTTGGTTCCATTCTTTCAAGTTTCAGTTTTAGAATTCACACAATGCCTGCATTTGATCTCATTCAAAACCTCTTTTTTGGAAGAGAACTTAGTGACCGTAATCTTGAGGTTTGCTGTATCGGCGTCCAAGAAAGGAAGAGTGACACAAAAAAGCAAGCAAACAGTAGCCGAAGCAAACACACCAATCTGGAAATTGATAAAACCCAAACATCTAGTGAACTCGAAGGCAACACTCTCAGCGGAAAAAATAAAGGACATCAAGTCAATGTTAAAGTTGATGCCCTTGCAAGACAAAGCGTTCTATACCACATTAAAACTGTGAAAATGTTGACATAGGTCAAAAACACTTACTGTACCTTTCTTTAAAATAAAATCATAGTAATTGAAATTTATACCAGTGTAATTATTTCAGAATCTCACTAACTATACCTATGGATCAGACTAAATAAATCATTTACTTTGGTATGAGAAGGTTCCACCTACCACATAGAACCTTGTCATACATAAAATGTCAAGTTTAAAAAGTGACAAGGTTCCAACTATAATCAAAAAAAATTGTAAATTTCTTACCAAGGAGCATTTTTTTCTTTTTTACCAGTTAAAACCTTTTTATGTATATAACTAAGAAGTGTATACACAAAAATCAAACAATATATCAAAAACACTTGTGTAGTGTCAAGATTAAACTTTGGGGACTGTTTTCTCAAAACTAGGTTGTGGTTAGTTGGAACCCTGTCATTCTAGCCTAACGTTATCTGTCTGACTTTTTGAGATACTTAATGTTCTGAATCTGAAGCTTCAAGGCCGTAAAAACATCTTAACTCCTTAAATGAATCACTTATGATGCATTTAAGGGGTTTATAGAAAAAATATCGCTTTGACAACGCCACCTTCACAGTTCCAAGCCAAACTTTTCTTCCTCTTTTCCTAAACTGAACGACCCCTTTACACATGATATTTAAACCCTTCCACTACATCTAGTTTCGGATTTGAAAGATGTCATATCACGGCATTTGAAAGAACTGAAAAATCAAATTCGAAAGTACTTTAAAGATGTTAGCTCGGAAAACTGGGAATTTACGTTGACAAGAGATCCTTTTCATATTGAAGTTGTCATTCTTTCAGTTAACCTTTAAGAGCAGGCAATTGATCTAAAATGTGATTCACAAGCAAAAGCAAATTTTGCAAACATGGACTTGGAAGAATTTTGGTTAACCTACTTTCCTGTTTACTCAGAAGTGGCTTTAGTATCTGCGAAGTTATTAGTCCAGTTTTTATTCACATATCTTTTCGAATCTGGTTTTTCTGAATTGGCGTATATAAAATCAAAATACCGTTCAAGGCTGGACGTTCAAAGTGACTTGAGTTGTGCTCTGGCACAGTTTCAAACGAATATCGAAGAACTTGTCAAGAATAGACAATACCAACCCTCTCATTAAAAGTACAAAAACACTCATATAAGACTTTCAACTTTATATGCGTATTTACTTTTTTGATAATTCTTTTTCTCATTTTTCAAGTTTAATAAGACATCAAATAAAATTTCGTATTTAAATATATCTGGATTTTTATTTTGCATCCCAGATTTGGTTAACGTAGAGTTAGCTGAAACTGACGATCAGTTTCACAATTTTACTGTTCTAACTTGAACCAACCAATTATTTACTGTAGAGGAGGCGCGAGCTATTGGGGAAAGGTTGAGACCCGGTGATCTAGAAGATTAAGGATGAGATTAGATGGAAAAGTATGTATATATAAACCTTTTGGTAGACCATAATTGCATATGCAAACGAAGGTATACACGAAAGAAGCAAAAAAAATAGTTAGAACCTCAGAATTGAGAGTCTTGATATCAATTGCTGTCGATAGAAAAATCAGAGAACACAAGCTACAAATGCTCTGTATAAAGAAAATACCTTGACCATTAAAATGGGAACAAGAATCATAGGAGACTTAACTACAACAAAAGCGCTCCTGCAGGGTTGTTTCACATCTCCAACTCTATTCAAAATATACTTAGAGAAAGCCTTGACTACATTTAAAAGAAAATGCAAAGGCATGGGAGTACCGGTACGAAACGCCTGCATAAGATCACGAAGACCTCAGTTAGATATTAACCTCGCGAAAACAGAGTACCTGTCTACAAGTAAAGAAGACATAGAAGATCTACAGATTGATGACAACGTAATAATCAAAGAAAAGGATAAATTCAAATACTTGGGGTTTATAACCACGAAAAAGGTAACGACAGAGGAAGAAATTAAGCAAAGATTAGGACAAACAAGATGAACAATTCGAAAATTTAACTCAGTATGATGGGATAAACACCTAAATATGAAGACAAAAACACAAATTTATTAAACGTTAGTGCGAAGAATTATGACATATGGGGCTAAAAATTGGATTATAAATAGGAAAAACAGCAGTAAAATAGTAGTAAGAGAGATGGAATGCCTGCGAAGATGCTGCAGAGTAACAAGAATGGATAGGAGAAGTAATGACGAAATAAAGCAAAAAACATCAATAGAAACATACATACTAACATATATAAAACAAAGAAGACTAAAGTGAAATGGAGCCCCATAGAAAGGATGAAAAGAGGACGACCCCAAAAATCCTGGAGGAACGAAGTAGATGACGCTATGCGTTAGACAGACCTAAACGATGGAGAATGGGACAACAGAGAAATGATTGAGCGACGGAAGGCAGTAAATACTGTAGGTTACCTAAATATACATAATTGGTTATTGAAATTATTTCAAAATATCGTTACTTGTAACAAGAAATAAAATTACACTTCACTGATTGCACCGATCATTGAGGGACTCCGTTTTCCTGGATTCGAGTTGATAATAGAACGAGCAAATGGAACACCATTTGCTCGTACCTTAAATGTACTAAGAAATTTTAAATAAACTTTAGAAAGTGTTAATTAATGCTCCAGGAGAGAAGCTTTTTTGTTATATTATATGTTCATGTGCAATCTTTTGTTATATCGTAAAAAAAACTAGACAGTGTTGTTTGCTAATGAATGCTTCGTGAACTTCGGATTCAAGATCAACCAGGATATCAGTCGTTGATCTTTGTTGACGAAAGCCGTTCTGCTTAGAGATTAGACTTTTTCCATTTTACAGGAACCACGTAAAGCACCGCTTTATAATATATTCGAATAGCTTATAAGTTTGTAACGATAATATTTTGCCTACCACATGGGGCATTAATACGGGAGATAGAAAATTGGGGAAAAAACTATTGGGGGTGGAGATAGGGCAAGCAAAATAATCGCTACTGATGCGAACGGCACTCAGGGTTTTGTAGGAGAGCTGGGGTCGTGGATAAGTGAAAGATAAGGGCATTGGAATGGGGCAACTACAAAAAAATGAAATAAAGGGCTCTTGGGATAAACAAAATAAAAATAAACAAGAAACACCTCAAGGAATTTAATATAGGGCGCCACTTGAGGTGCCTAATTATGCCTATTACAACCACTAGTTGTAACTAGGGAAATAATTAGAAAACAAAATCAAAACATAAAAAACATATCTTTTTCAAATAAGAATAAAAAAAAAGGTTTGGCTCAAAAAAATAAATAAAAAGTTAAGACAACAAAATTTAACCTTTATTTACGTGTCACCACAAACAGTTACAAAATTGAGAAATACAAAATACAAAAACTTACGTGTCATCCGCTTACAAACTTCAGGAGTTGGAGATACTACATAATCTTAAAAAATTTATATGGAGGTTAACCTTGTTTAAAAATAAAACAAACTAATAACCAAAAAAATAATAATAAACGAACTGTCACAAGTTAACATTAAATTAAAAAAAAACTAAACACACAAATTGACAGCTCAACTCAAAACTTAAAATTTACAATTTTAAATGTCAACGAAAGCAATTATTTAATTCAAAACAAATTGTCTGTCTTTACTTTAAAATTTGATCAAAAAGTTACCTGGATCTTCACTAAAAAATGCACTAGAATTTGTGGAACCAGACGCCACTGGAATATCCGAAACCATAACTGGAACTAAGGGCTTTACTCTCTGTGCAATGAACACAACTATCTATCTCCATATCTTCATATCTGGAACAAATCTATCTCCATACTGCCAAAAGCCTTGGATTCTAACCAGGGAGAAACAAAACGAGGATGGAATCGACGATTCTTCCATTCCTCTTTTAAACATTTACTAAACCATTAACTTCACACTGCTACACATTTTCTTCACAAAAAAAAGACGAACAAACGTCTTCATAAAAAAACACAAACAACGAGGAACATTTCGAATTTGAAGTCAAATTCGGACATCGTTGACCGCTTTTCACCGCGGCTCCAACGATAGTGAAGAAATTCTATTAAAATTGAACGCATACATACAAACGCTGACATAACAAGACACCACGAAACGACATACATATCCTTTTGCGACGCATAAACTTGAAAAGAAATTGCCGAAGTAAAATAAACAACTTTCAAATGGTTTTATTACTCGGCGACGAAACACTTTTGGGTACTTTGAAAGATACGAACTAACAACACGGAAAAATTCTTCGTTTCATTTTTTAAAAATATATAAGGAGTTTTTAATATTTCGTATACGAGGGGACTTCAATATACTTCAGAGAATCAATGAAATTGAAAATGCTACAAGTTGACAGTTAAGGATATTATTATATGGGATTGACGATCTGTTTTTGGTTTTATTGAGATGATATATGGTTCTGACCAAAACTTTGGAAAGTAGTGCTGTATCCATATTTACTTTATACCAATAAGGAGATATGTTCTAGCATTTGTGCTTATTTTTTGGAGTTTTTTATATTAAACAAAGCATCGTCCAGTTCTGCTAGTGATAATAAATATTTATCATTGTTAGTTTGTTTATATGTATATATTACATTACATTAATTTCTTGTTTTCAGATTCTGTGGCAGTTCAGTGAATACCTCGAAGCAGTGTCTCTACTTCCGCAGGTGTACCTGGTTATAAAAATTCAGAATATCAGCATGGGGACCGCTGTCTTTATGACGTTTATGGCAATATCAAAGCTTTTTTACATTTTCATGTGGTTAATATCTCACAATACGAAAATTGAATTATTTTATGTAACCCATATATCTGCTATAATTCATGTCGGAATATTTATCGCTTTCTTGATTTTGGGTGTATGTACAGCTTCAGCAAACACCAGCAAACCAAAAAGTGGTAAAATTGGATATGCGGTTGTTGATATTGAAAATGTGGTTAAGAATATAACACAGAAACCTGAAAAGAAGGATAAAGTCTCGGATCGTACACCCTTAATTTTGTACTCTGCCAATAATTAACAAAAAATCTTTCAGTTTAATATATTTGTGATATATAATAAGTATGTATGCCTTTATTTTAGTAAATAAAAAGTGTTTTATATTATTTGTGTTGTTATATTTGTTCAAATATGTCTTCTTATCTTTACTTCTAGTATATATGAGTCCGCTAGATGCAAAACTTTGTATTTACTGTATAAGTCAAACTGAGTTATTTGCAAAAAACTGATAAATTTTGCAAAAAACCTTAGACATAATAAATGGCACTTTTTTGTGATAGATAAATGCTTTATTAGGTAAAATATAGTGATTTTTTCTTAGAAAAGTTATTGGGTTTTCTAGAAAAGGAAGAAAAATTTGAAAATACCGAGTTTTGTAAGTGAACTATGTAAATACAGATTTATGCAACTAACTATTATCATGTATTTGCAAATACATGATAATAGTCAACCATTAACGATATTAGTGGTTGTTATGTTAGTCTGTTTTCTAAACCTAGTGTGTTAGGAATAAGGAAGAAAGCATGTGGAAGTAAACTTTTAGTGAAGTTTATTTTTATCCAAAGTACAAAAGGTATTACAAATTATAATATGTATATATTTATATTAATTCCTAAACTATAAGTTCCTCTGGGTCCTCATCATCAATATGATCATTTTCTGCAGCACTCTCGTTATTATTTGCTTGTACGCCAGTATCTATAATTTTATAAAATTTGAGATCCGGCTGGTCTCTCCAATTTTCACCAAAATGGTTTCTAAGGAGAGTACCTATGGACGATTTATCTCATTTCAATGAACATCCAATCTGTTGTAACTTTGGTTTCAATAAAGAAATCTTTTTCCCTTTTCGTATTATAAACTTGCTGAACCCTATGTCAGAACGATAAAATATTTCCCCCTTACCGTAGCCATATAATCTTTGTCCTTAGAAAATATAAATCGTTTCGTTGCATTACATTTAAAATGCCACTGGGAAGGTTTTTTAACAACAACGTCACTCGTCTTTCTCCAGTCTGATATCTGCCAGTCTTTACCAAGTCTCAGCACCTTTGAGTGTTTTCCAATTATGTCTTCATATTCTTTTCTGTTTATTACAATGTTCTTCTTTTTTATCTCCCTTTCTATCATACCAAAAATCCTATCTGGTGGCAAAAAGGGATGACCAACAACAGGAAACGTAAACTCCACTTCCTTGATGTGACCAGGTGCTTCATAAACCAACCAGTAGATTATCATAGACATCATCGTGCTATTTTTGTTCTGTCCACCACATCCATCTGCAAATAGGTGAACTTTTTCGATTTGATTTTTAAAGTTGAATTTTATGAGAGTATCATGTACATCAGATGCAACAGCATTTGAATCTTTTGGACGTTCAAACTCCAGCCACACATATGACGTCACATTTGCAGAAGAAAGATGGGATTTCGAATTTCCAGCCACGATGGTAAAATTATAAAAATTTATTTGCTGTGAGAAATAAGCCGCCTGGTCGGGAAGCTTTGGCAAAGAAAGATTTTTTTGACAATCAAAAGAAAATATTTGTATGTTATGATTTGATTCATTTTTTAACAAAGAATAAAAGGCTTTAGCTCTTAACGTATGAACTCTCTGCTCTGTTATAACCTTTAACTTTTCTTCTTCTGAATTTTCTTTTCTAAAAATTTCCTTCGCTCTGAGACACGCAGAACAAGCCTCTACTAAGGGAGTGCCGAATGATATGTTGTAGTGTTCATTAACGTATGTTCGGAAATATGATAACTTTACGGAATGATGTGGATGACGTTGACAATACATTCTGTAAAGGTTTGTAAAATTCAGATCACATGGTAAATACAATCTAGTCGATCGTCCTCTATTATAATGACTCTCTGCACCGTTCAAACACCCCATAAATGTTTGGATAGATAATTTTATTGGATCAAATCTACCTTTTGTTGTATCTCCCCCTCTTCTTACTTTTGGTATTTAACCCCGGATAACAAACGTTCTTACAACACGTTCTATTCTTTCAGAACTTAAATGAGTTACTCCAAGAAATGCTGTCTTGCATACTCTTAAAAGTCCACCCTTTACTGTAGGAACAAAATATTTAATTGAAATTCCATGTAGGTTTGTACCTGATCTCTTGGGCTTTTGACCTTCACAAAATTTCAGCAAAAAAATATCTTGTTTTATTTTGTCAGTTGTTGAATACAGATTATTATGGAAACGCTGAATGTCTCGCATCTTTAAATCTATACAACAATACACTTTCTTTGTATGGTTACAGGTGGGAAAGCCGGATAAATCCTTAGGTTTATGCCTAAAAATATTGACAATAAGTCCCAAACCTATCTAGTTAATTGTAGACACCTCTTACCTCTTAAGTTTCATTACATTTCGTTTCCATTTTTCTGTTTGTACAACTCGCTTTCTTCCTTTTCCTTTTTCACAATGTCTAATATGCACATGAAGATCCATAATGTTAATTATTTGCAATAAACTTGGTGTTTTTAGTACTCAAATAACAAACAGTGAGACCGGTAATGGCAAATGATGGAATAATTGACATGTGCACATGAGACGTGTCATGTGACTCAAACAATGTAAGCGATGGGCCAATTGTAATTACACAGTTATGCAACTGGCATAGGCTGACAAATACAGAGTTTTGCGTCTGACTCAAGATTTCTAATGCTTTTCTTAGTAAATACCTTACTTTACTGCTGAATTTCTACATCAGCAGATAGCTATAACACGTGACAAATAACTGTCAGCTAAAACTCAATTTTTACAATTTTTGCAAATACAGAGTTTTGCATCAACCGGACTCATATAGCACATTCTGTGTTTATTTTGGATGTTACCAATGTAACCAAGCTGAAAAGGCAGTGTTTTTTGAATTCTTCTAATTGTTTCTAGTGACTTACGGTCGATCCTTGGATTATTATTGGCCGCAATAGGCGAGGCTTTACCAATTTGTCCCCCAATATTATAAAATTAAAACGAAAAATTTCAGTTGATGGATTACGAGATTCATAGATAACATAGCTATTTCTTGTAGTTATCTCCAACAGTGTAAAAAATAATAATTGGTTGCTCCTCCACTCTTGGTAGAAGTATAAAACAGTATAATAAACAAAAAAATCACTGCAATTCATAAATGGGCACGAAGAGGTTAGGAAATATTCTAACATTTCAGATGACAGATAGATATAACGACAGCTATTATTCTCGTAAAATCTTCCCAAACTTAGATTTTTAAATTAATGAACTTTTCGTTCCCTCAGTACGTGACGACATATTGATTTTAGATGCCGTAGAATTCGTAGCAAACCATAAACCTATAATTAGAAAAGTAGATTACACTTGTATTGTGAGCACTAATCCCTCTTTCCCTTACTCAACAAGTTTCCTGTAGTCACAACAGCCGTGTCAGGATTACCGACATATTTATATTTCAAAAGATCGATTTTGCGCTGGGAAATGTCGGGCTTGTGTTCATGTATACTCTAATATCCTCCTCTCCCTTAAACCAGATGGAATAATGGATTGATTTAACGGATATACGAGCTTAATGGATGAACCATTTCGACACCATACGCATTAATAAATCGAATAGCGCTAGCGTGATAAGCAACGCTGGTCTTTTGCTTTAAAAATAAACGGGAGTTGCTTTATTTTCGAGTTGAAAAGGGATGAGTGTGTTCGAATGATATGACAGTTCATTTTGAGGACCTTTTCAGATTTATTCAGAAGGTAAAATGAGGTACAAGGATTGGAGCATTTTGCTTAGATTTATTTATTTTGTTTCTAAACTATATTATCATCAATTACTATTTGACTGGGAATAAGCCACAATTAAAGATAAAATACGTTTATTGACGTTTCAATTTCCACTTTGGAAATTGTTCTCAAAATACAAACAGTAAATTAAACAAATTTTGTTTTTTGTTACATAGTGAAAAATTCTTCTAATAATTTAATTTTATCTGACTCATTTATATTGACAATTCAGACATACATTATGCATTTTAAAGTAGACGACTTTAAAATGATATTGCCAATATTGTTGAGTTGCGCTCCTGGTACGACTTTACTTATAAGATAGTTCATTCGATTACATGAAATCAACTTTAACTTGAGAATATCCGTCAGAAAAAAATCATAGCATGTAATTCGTCTTTAAAAAGACAAACATATGACATGATGACAGTAAAATTCTCCTGTTAGTGATTCCATAGTAAATTATGAAAGAAAAAAACAGGAAAAAAACCTCATAATACTATCCCGACGTGGTAAGTATTTATTCGTGCATTTAGTTTACCTTCAATAAACACCAAAAATTCTGATTTTATATGTTTCGGTATTTACAAAACATAAATGATGTATGCTCTATATGTTACTGACTTACTAATACTGGTATTTCCTTATAATCATTTCCTTATAATCAATAACTTCCTCTTTTAATATTGGTAACCAGATCCTACTACATTCTGCCAAGGAATTTGCGACACAATTGGCCTCATTTAACATAATTAGAGCCGCTTCTTTGATTTTTTTTTAACTCAACAATATTGGCAATATCATTTTAAAGTCGTCTTCTTTGAAATGCATAATGTATGTCTGAATTGTCAATATAAATGAGTCAGATAAAATTAAATTATTAGAAGAATTTTTCACTATGTAACAAGAAACAAATGTTTAATTTACTGTTTGTATTTTGAAAACGATATCCGAAGTGGAAATTGAAACGTCAATAAACGTATTTTATCTTTAATTGTGGCTTATTCCCAGTCAAATAGTAATTAATTTAAAATGCCACAAGAAAATAGCTTCAGAACAATATATTATCATCATTATATATATATATATATATATATATATATATATATATATATATATATATATATATATATATATATATATATATATATATATATAGATACATATATATAAGGATCACTCAGACGAGTGGTGGGTTCTTATATCGGTCTCTAGGTGGAGAAATAAAAGACAAAGTTGATAGGCTACTTTATCTATTTTGAAGACGTTTCGCTTTCGAGTTTTGAAAGCATCATCAGTTCATCTAAAAAATTATTACAATATGAGAACCACAC